AATAAATAAAAAAAATTAATAATGTGAATATAAATTAAAAAAAATAAATAAATGACGGTGGTAAAAATAAATAAAAAAAAAATTAATGGAATAAAAATAAAGTGACAGTGTAAAAATAATAAAATAACAGAAAAAAATAAAGTGAAAGTGTAAAAATCAAAAAATTATTCATGAAAAAAAAGTGGCAGTGTAAAAATAATATAAAAAAAAATAATAATGGAATAAAAATTAAAGTGGCAGTGTAAAAATAATATATAATAATGGAATAAAAATAAAGTGGCAGTGTAAAAAATAATAATGGAAAAAATAAATAAATAAAGTGAAAGTGTAAAAATCAAATTATTCATGAAAAAAAAAGTGGCAGTGTAAAAAATTAATAATGGAATAAAAATGTAAAGTGACAGTGTAAAAATAATAAAATATAATAATGGAAAAAATAAAGTGAAAGTGTAAAAATTATTCATGAAAAGTGGCATTGTAAAAATACATTTTTATTGCATTATTAATTTTTTTAATTTATTTTTACAATGCCACTTTTTATTTTTTAATGAATAATTTTTACACTTTCACTTTATTTTTTCCATTATTTTATTATTTGTACACTGTCACTTTAACTTTTATTCCATTATTAATTTTTTTTAATTTAAATGACAGTGTACAAATAATAAAATAATAATGGAAAAAATAAAGTGAACGTGTAAAAATCAAAAAAATAATTCATGAAAAAAAAGTGGCAGTGTAAAAATAATATAGAAAAATTAATAATGGAATAAGAATTAAAGTGACAGTGTAAAAATAATAAAATCAAATAATAATGGAAAAAATAAAGTGAAAGTGTAAAAATCAAAAAATTATTCATGAAAAAAAAGTGGCAGTGTAAAAATAATATAAAAAAAAAAGTAATGGAATAAAAATTAAAGTGAAAGTGTAAAAATAAATAAAAAAAAATTAATGGAATATAAACTAAAGTGACAGTGTAAAAATAATAATGGAAAAAATAAATAAATAAAGTGAAAGTGTAAAAATCAAATTATTCATGAAAAAAAAAGTGGCAGTGTAAAAAAAAAAAAAATTAATAATGGAATAAAAATGTAAAGTGACAGTGTAAAAATAATAAAATATAATAATGGAAAAAAATAAAGTGAAAGTAAAAATTATTCATGAAAAGTGGCATTGTAAAAATACATTTTTATTGCATTATTAATTTTTTTTGTAATTTATTTTTACAATGCCAAAAAATGAATAATTTTTAAACTTTCACTTTATTTTTTTCCATTATTTTATTATTTGTACACTGTCACTTTAACTTTTATTCCATTATTAATTTTTTTTAATTTAAATGACAGTGTACAAATAATAAAATAATAATGGAAAAAAAATAAAGTGAAAGTGTAAAAATCAAAAAATAATTCATGAAAAAAAAAAGTGGCAGTGTAAAAAATAAATAGAAAAATTAATAATGGAATAAGAATTAAAGTGACAGTGTAAAAATAATAAAATCAAATAATAATGGAAAAAATAAAGTGAAAGTGTAAAAATCTAAAAATTATTCATGGAAAAATGAAAGGTCGCAGTGTAAAAAAAATAAAAAAAAAAATGAATAATGGAAAAATAAAGTGACAGTGTAAAAATAATAAAATAATAATGGAAAAAATAAAGTGAAAGTGTAAATATATTCATTAAAAAATAAAAAGTGGCATTGTAAAAATACATTTTTTATTGCATTATTAATTTTTTTAATTTATTTTTACAATGCCACTTTTTTATTTTTTAAAAAATAATTTTTTACACTTTCACTTTATTTTTTCCATTATTTTATTATTTGTACACTGTCACTTAACTTTTATTCCATTATTAATTTTTTTTTTTAATTTAAATGACAGTGTACAAATAATAAAATAATAATGGAAAAAATAAAGTGAAAGTGTAAAAATCAAAAAATTATTCATGAAAAAAAAAGTGGCAGTGTAAAAATAATATAGAAAAATTAATAATGGAATAATGAATTAAAGTGACAGTGTAAAAATAATAAATCAAATAATAATGGAAAAAATAAAGTGAAAGTTAAAAATCTAAAATTATTCATGGGAAAATGAAGGTCGCAGTGTAAAAATAATAAAAAAAAATGAATAATGGAAAAAATAAGTGACAGTGTAAAAATAATAAAAATGGAAAAAATAAAGTGAAAGTGTAAAAATAAAATTTAAAAAATGAATAGAATAAAAATTAAAGTGACAGTGTAAAAATAATAAAATAATAATGGAAAAAAAAAGGGAAAGTGTGTAAAAATAAATAAAAAAAATTAATAATGGAATATAAACTAAATTGACAGTATAAAAAATAATAAAATAATAGAAAAATAAAGTGACAGTGTAAAAATCAAAAAATTATTCATGAAAAAAAGTGGCAGTGTAAAAATAATATACAAAAATTATTAATGGAATAAAAATAAAGTGACAGTGTAAAGATAAAATAATAATAACTGGAAAAAATAAAGTGACAGTGTAAAAATAAATAAAATTAATAATGGAATATAAATTAAAGTGACAGTGTAAAAATAATAAAATAAAATAATAATGGAAAAAAATAAAGTGAAAGTGTAAAAATCAAAAAATAATTCATGAAAGAAAAGTGGCAGTGTAAAAATAATATAGAAAAATTATTAATGGAATACAAATTAAAGTGACAGTGTAAAAATAATAAAATAATAATGGAAAAAAAAAGTGACAGTGTAAAAATAAATAAAAAAAATTAATAATGGAATATAAACTAAATTGACATATAAAAAATAATACTGAAATAAAATTAAACAACCCCTCCGTGACTTGTAAAAATCAAAAATTATTCATGAAAAAAACTGGCAGTGTAAAAATAAATTAAAAAAATATAATGGAATAAAAATAAAATTGACAGTGTAAAGATAAAAATACAAATAATTAGGGTGTCAATAAAGTTTAGACAGTGTAAAAATAAATAAAATTAATAATGGCTATAAATTAAAATGACAGTGTAAAAAAAATAAAATTCGGATGATCACCTAGTGGAAAAAAAATAAATATGTTTTAGTGAAAGTGTAAAAATCAAAAAATAATTCATGAAAAAAAAGTGGCAGTGTAAACACAATTAAAAAAATAATGGATTCAAAAATCCAAGAAGGAGAATGTAAAAATCAAACATGTATTCAGGTGAAAATAAAAAGTATGACAGTGTAAAAATAAATTAAAAAATTATTAATAATGGGAATAAAAAAATTCTAATTAAAAAAATGTCAATACATGAAAAAAAGGGAAGAGCGAGACTCCGTGCTTGGGGGGCAAACATCAATCGCCCACATGTCGAGGTATGGCCGCAGAAATACTGACTGCTTCGGGTGAGGGTCAGGAGGTGAGAGTGTTAGGGTGTCAGGCACGGGGCATTGTAACTCTGGGGTTAGGAGGTCCTCCCCCGCCCCGTGACTGCGCCGGTTCCCGCTGATTGCGATGATCACCAGCTGACAGTGAGGGCAGGATTGTGGTCCTTCACTGAGGCTGCGTCCCCCTCCCCCCCCCCCCGCCTGACACAGATTTTCGAGCGTTTGCGGCGTTCAGGAGGTGCAAGGGTGACGGCCACAGAGGTGCGATGGACGCAGGTGCGTGTAGTCTGAGGTGAAGGATTTCCGTCTCCGGTGAATTGGGGCAGAATTGCCCGAGGGCGAGGAGGTGCCGGGGGAACTACAAGGGCGAGGAAATCGGCGCGAGACACTGGTCCCCGACAGGGCAGGACTAGAAGGGAGAGAGAGAGACTGAGAGGAATGGGGAGGGGTGCCTCATGTCCGCCCCATTAGGAGGTGCGGGGGAGGGGTGGGGGTGCGAGGAGGTGGGCGGGAGGTGCGGGATCAGGCGGGATGAGGGCGAGGAGGTGTCGGGCGGGATGAGGGCGAGGAGGTGCGGGGCGTGGGAGGTGCGGGACGAGGGGTGCGGATGAGGGCGAGAGTGCTGCGGGGTGAGGGGGGTGCGGGATGAGGAGGTGAGGGCGAGGTGCGGGAGATGGGCGAGGGCGAGGAGGTGCGGGGTGAGGGCGAGGAGGTGCGGGGCTAGGAGGTGCAGGGTGAGGGCGAGGAGGTGCGGGGCGAGGAGGTGCGGGGTGAGGGCGAGGAGGTGCTGGGTGCGGGATGAGGGCGAGGAGGTGCGGGGGCGAGGGCGAGGAGGTGCGGGGCGAGGCGAGGCGGGGCGGGGCGAGGAGGTGCGGGGGGAGGGCGAGGAGGTGCGGGGGATGAGGGCGAGGAGGTGCGGGGGCGAGGAGGTGCGGGGAGTGCGGGAGGTGCGGGATGAGGTGCGGGGATGAGGGCGAGGTGCCGGGGTGAGGTTATAGTTGCGAGAGGTGCGGGGCGAGGAGGTGCGGGATGAGGGCGAGGTGCGGATCTCACTGGGGGTCTCGAGCAGCAGCTGCTGCGCACACAGATATCATCGGTTGCCGAGCAACTGTCACACTTCACCCCGCTCTCCTCACCTGGCTGCTGATGGATCTGCCTGGGGGCACCGGTACTCCGGTCACATGACGCCTCGCCTGGTCCCTGAACCATAACATTGGGGGATGGGAAGCCCGTTGTGAATTGCATTATCAGCAGGAGATGGATGAACTGCCACTGAATTCCAGGTGTTCCCGCAGTGAGCGACCCCAGGGAGTGTATCCATAGCAACAGCAGAGATAGAATAGTGGTAACCCATAGCAACACCAATCCAACTGCAGTCAACTGGAAAACTTAGTTGCTCCGGGTTACTACTTTCCATCCCTGTGCTGAGTTCCCGGGTCTGTACGCCCGCTGTGCATATTATGAGGGTTTCCCACCGTCCCTGTGCTGAGTTCCCGGGTCTGTACCCCCGCCGTGCCCATTATGAGGGGTTCCCACCATCCCTGTGCTGAGTTCCCGGTCTGTACCCCCGCCGTGCCCATTATGAGGGGTTCCCACCATCCCTGTGCTGAGTTCCCGGGTCTGTACCCCCGCCGTGCCCATTATGAGGGGTTCCCACCATCCCTGTGCTGAGTTCCCGGGTCTGTACCCCCGCCGTGCCCATTATGAGGGGTTCCCCACCATCCCTGTGCTGAGTTCCCGGGTCTGTACCCCCGCCGTGCCCATTATGAGGGGTTCCCACCATCCCTGTGCTGAGTTCCCGGGTCTGTACCCCCGCCGTGCCCATTATGAGGGGTTCCCACCATCCCTGTGCTGAGTTCCGGGTCTGTACCCCTGCCTGCCCATTATGAGGGGTTCCCACCATCCCTGTGATGCTGAGTTCCCGGGTCTGTACCCCCCGCCGTGCCGATTATGAGGGGTTCCCACCATCCCTGTGCTGAGTTCCCGGGTCTGTACCCCTGCCGTGCCCATTATGAGGGGTTCCCACCATCCCTGTGCTGAGTTCCCCCGGGTCTGTACCCCCGCCGTGCCGATTATGAGGGGTTCCCACCATCCCTGTGCTGAGTTCCTGGGTCTGTACCCCCGCCGTGCCCATTATGAGGGGTTCCCACCATCCCTGTGCTGAGTTCCGGGTCTGTACCCCCGCCGTGCCCATTATGAGGGGGTTCCCACCATCCCTGTGCTGAGTTCCCGGGTCTGTACCCCCGCCGTGCCCATTATGAGGGGGTCACCGCCGAGGACACGGTTGTTTTCTATGTTCCCGGATGACGGTGATGTGAGGATATGCAGACATGCAGCATTCTTCTGTAGTACATGGAATGGCGCGGCAGGTCACTGAAGTTCATCGCTGGGTGTGCAGAAACCACGAAGGACGTGTAAATTTGTCATATTTAAATAAAGTTTTTTTTTAAAAAAAAAAAAAAAACGCAAACCATATGATACGCTGACACGCCCATCACACTGATCCCGCCCCCTGTCACAATGAACTTTTTTTTTTTTTAGTGCAGCTAAATATTCCTTGGTGCTCCTCTGTGATGTCATCACTGGGGCGGGGCCAGGGACAGACAGGCTGGGGAGGAAAGGGCTAGATGATGCTGGGTGCCCCCCCCCCCAGCCAGAAAATGGGGCGGAGCTCTATCTGACTGGCTGCAGCTTCTAATGCACATAGTGTGTGCGGTGAGATCAGAGGAAGCACTCGCTACATTTATATATATCTGTATCTCTCTCGATACCCCCCCCCCCCCCCGTCTTCTATTTGGGGGGTCCTCATGCCACGTGGGAGCTTTCCCCACCCAATAAATCGCTCGTTTACAATCGTGGACATTAAAGTGGGTGTAAACCTTCCCGTGAGGTGACCCGCCTCGGGTGATACACCGAGATTAATCGATCGATCCGTCGTGGCATCGTCCCGGGAACTGCATGTGTGATAAAATCATTCTCGTACGGCTGATATGTGGGGGTGTCGGTCCGATTGGTTGGGTTGGTGTGTGGGAGGATTGGATGGGAAGGACAAGTGTTTGTACTGAAGATCCCCCGACGTAGATCGGCTCCGTGTCCTGGCCGGGGTCCCAGCAGTCGGGCCGGCTCATGTAATGGATGAGGTCCCTGTGATGAGGGATCGGGACTGGTAAGGCCAGTAATTGTCATCTCCAGGATGTGTCCGATCCGTGGCCTGTGTGGATTTGTGTTTATGGAACCCCGTGGTTTGGTGCCGACTGATCCCACTGTCCCTGTTCCTCCATATTGGATCAGTTGGGGGGGGGGGGGGGGGGTCGGTGCAGGCGGTGTCCCTCTGCCCGGGGGTCGGTGCAGGCGGCGTCCCTCTGCCCGGGGGTCGGTGCAGGCGGCGTCCCTCTGCCCGGGGGTCGGTGCAGGCGGCGTCCCTCTGCCCGGGGGTCGGTGCAGGCGGCGTCCCTCTGCCCGGGGTCGGTGCAGCAGGCGTCGGGGCCTCTGCCCGGGGGTCGGTGCAGCAGGCGGCGGGGGCCTCTGCCCGGGGGTCGGTGCAGCAGGCGGCGTCCCTCTTGCCCGGGGGTCGGTGCAGCAGGCGGCGGGGGGGACCTCTGCCCGGGGGTCGGTGCAGCAGGCGGCGTCCCTCTGCCCGGGGGTCGGTGCAGCAGGCGGCGGGGCCTCTGCCCGGGGGTCGGTGCAGCAGGCGGCGGGGCCTCTGCCCGGGGGGGTCGGTGCAGCAGGCGGCGTCCCTCTGCCCGGGGGTCGGTGCAGCAGGCGGCGGGGCCTCTGCCCGGGGGTCGGTGCAGCAGGCGGCGGGGCCTCTGCCCGGGGGTCGGTGCAGCAGGCGGCGGGGCCTCTGCCCGGGGGTCGGTGCAGCAGGCGGCGGGGCCTCTGCCCGGGGGTCGGTGCAGCAGGCGGCGGGGGGTCCGGCTGCCCGGGGGTCGGTGCAGCAGGCGGCGGGGCCTCTGCCCGGGGGTCGGTGCAGCAGGCGGCGGGGGGCCTCTGCCCGGGGGTCAGGTTGACTTCCACTTAGCCTCAGAGTTGACGTACCACTTCTTGTACGTAGAGTTATCCTCCGCCTTGGGTACGAATGGTGACCACCTTCAGTACATAGAGTGACATTCTGCCTCTGGGGTGCAGGCGGTGGCCCTCTTCCTCTGGGGTGCAGGCGGTGGCCCTCTTCCTCTGGGGTGCAGGCGGTGGCCCTCTTCCTCTGGGGTGCAGGCGGTGACCCTCTGCCTCTGGGGTGCAGTATGTAGAGTTATCCTCCACCTTGGTTACAGATGGTGACCATCTTCAATACATAGCGACCCTTTACCTCTGGGGTGCAGTACGTAGAGTTACCCGCACATTGTGTACGGATGGTGGCCCCTCCTTGGGTTTGAATGGTGACCACCTTCAGTACATAGAGTGTGACTGCGCCTCGGGGTGCAGGCAGTGGCCCTCTACCTCCTGGGGTGCAGTACGTAGTGTTACGCTCACCTTGGGTACGGATGGTGACCACCTTCAGTACATAGAGTGACTCTCCACCTCGGGGGGCAGGTGGTTGACTCTCACTTCCGGTATAGGTGGTGACCACCTCCAGTATGTAGAGTTACCCTCTGCCTCGGGTACATGGTACAGACTGTGGCTTTGGCTAAGTACATGTGGCCCCCCACCTTTGGCTAAGTACATGGAGTGACCCTCTAGAGGGCAGGCTGTGTGGCCCCCTCCACCTTCTGGCTGAGTACATGGAGTGTCCCTGTAGAGGGTGCAGGCTGTGGCCCTCCACCTTTGGCTGAGTACATGGAGTGTCCCTACATGGAGTACATGAGTGACCCTCTAGAGGGTGCAGGCTGTGGCCCTCCACCTTCTGGCTGAGTACATGGAGTGTCCCTGTAGAGGGTGCAGGCTGTGGCCCTCCACCTTCTGGCTGAGTACATGGAGTGTCCCTGTAGAGGGTGCAGGCTGTGGCCCTCCACCTTCTGGCTGAGTACATGGAGTGACCCTCTAGAGGGTGCAGGCTGTGGCCCTCCACCTTCTGGCTGAGTACATGGAGTGTCCCTGTAGAGGGTGCAGGCTGTGGCCCTCCACCTTCTGGCTGAGTACATGGAGAGTGTCCCTCTAGAATGGTGTCCCTGTAGAGGGTGCAGGCGGTGGCCCTCCACTTCCGATAACAGGACCTTGTTGGACCTCGCAGACCTCTCCCGTTTCTGACCATGTCCTCCCTCTTGTTTCAGGAATACATCTGCCCCCGATGTGACTCTGGATTTATCGAGGAGGTGACAGAAGACTCCAGGTAGGTGGCGGCTCCGTGGTAACTTACCTCTCGGGGGGAACGTCTCCTGAGCTCAGGTCTTCTCCCCGTACATCGGGATACGTTGTTTGTAGGTCACAGTGCCAGGAATCTGGCTGGATAAATTGGGGTACTGCTCACGTGACCCTCTAGGGAGGAGGGGCCCATTTCCTGACACCCACCCAATATCAGGCGTGAGCTCGGGGGCCCCTGGTCTCTCACGTGTTGGTTGCGGCGCCCCCTGTCTACAACCATGAGGATGCAGCTATTTATGGCCAGAAAGTTCTCCTTTTTTTTTCTGCACCCTCTTTGAGGACCTCCTCTGACCTCGAGACTGGACCTTGCCTGACCACTCTTGATTGGCTGGTAGGAAGGCTCTCTGTTGGACACAAGTAACTGAAGGTGGGGTACGGACCTCTGCAGAGAGACCGCTGCTTTTGACCACCCAGTCAGCTATACAATGCTCCATGCTGATTGGAGAGTTCTAGCTGGGAGGCGTGTCGGACCTCTGCGGAGAGACCTCTGCTTCCAGGAGGAGGGTCAGGTGTCCTCCTCTGGCCAATGCTGGCAGGGAAGAGGCTTTTCTACTCCTGAAGGAGTCGATCTCGGCCACCTTTGCACAGCTTTATGTTTCGGTGAATAGCTGATGGAAAGTGAAAGTTCAGTCGGGATCCAGGAAAGCACCGAGGAGGTTTTTTTTTTTGGCCGGTTGCTGGAAGTGTTTTCCGGGAATCCGGGAATTTCCGTCTCATTTTTTAACAAGTGGCAGTTGTGGGTGGGGAAGCCCTCGGGCTGGTCGTCATCTGACCCACTTTCACTTTCGCCTTCACTGAGGGGAATTCCGGTTGTCTGCTCTGTTATCTATGGATTGAGGTCAGGGGTCAGTATCTGTGTGGGGGGGGGGAGGGGCTGTGCGCATGTCAGGGTCGGTATCTGTGTGGGGGGGAGGGGCTGTGTGTCAGTATCTGGGGGGGGGGGGGGGGGGAGGGGGGGGGGGGGGCTGTGCATGTGTCAGGGGTCAGTATCTGGGGGGGAGGGGCTGTGCGTGTCCTGGGTCAGTATCTGTGGGGGGAGGGGTTGTGCGTGTGTCAGGATCTGTGGGGGGGAGGGGCTGTTCTCGTGTCGGGGTCAGTATCTGTGGGGGCTGTGCGTGTGTCGGGTCAGTGTGGGGGGGGGGAGGGGCTGTGCGTGTGTCAGGGGTCAGTATCTGTGAGGGGAGGGGCTGTGCGTGTCAGGGGTTAGTGTGGGGGGGGGGGGGGAGGGGCTGTGCGTGTGTCAGTGTCAGGGGTCAGTGTGGGGGAGGGGCTGTGCGCGTCAGGATCTGTGGGGGGGGCTGTGCGCATCTGTGGGGGGGGAGGGGCTGTGCACATCTGTGGTCAGTATCTGTGGGGGGGAGTGGCTGCGCATTTGTCAGGGGTCACTATCTGGGGGGGAGGGGCTGTGCGTGTGTCAGGGGTCAGTACCTGTGGGGGGGGGGGCTGTGCGTGTGTCAGGGGTCAGTACCTGTGGGTGGGGGAGGGGGCTGTGCGTGTGTCAGGGGTCAGTACCTGTGGGGGGAAAGGCTGTGCGTGTGTCAGGGCTCAGTACCTGTGGGGGGGAGGGGCTGTGCGTGTGTCAGGGGTCAGTACCTGTGGGTGGGGGGGAGGGGCTGTGCGTGTGTCAGGGGTCTGTCAGTACCTGTGGGTGGGGGAGGGGGCTGTGCGTGTGTCAGGGGTCAGTACCTGTGGGTGGGGGAGGGGCTGTGTGTGTGTCAGGGGTCAGTACCTGGGGGTGGGGGAGGGGCTGTGTGTGTGTCAGGGGTCAGTACCTGTGGGTGGGGGGGGCTGTGTGTGTGTGTCGGGTCAGTACCTGTGGGTGGGGGGGGGCTGGGGGTGTCTGCGTGTGTCAGGGCTCAGTACCTGTGGGGGGAGGGGCTGTGCGTGTGTCAGGGGTCAGTACCTGTGGGTGGGGGAGGGGGCTGTGCGTGTGTCAGGGGTCAGTACCTGTGGGGGGGAGGGGCTGTGCGTGTGTCAGGGGTCAGTACCTGTGGGTGGGGAGAGGGCTGTGCGTGTGTCAGGGGTCAGTACCTGTGGGTGGGGGAGGGGGCTGTGCGTGTGTCAGGGTGTCAGTACCTGTGGGGGGGAGGGGCTGTGCGTGTGTCAGGG